GAATACACCACCAAAACAGAAAGTTTGTGCTCAGAGACCGAGTCCGTGCATTGCAGGCACACCGCCTCCTAACAAGTGGGAAACCAGCCGCCTGGCTCAGATCTGAGCAAGAGGGACTTGGGCAGAAACTGTGAACGAGGGCCAATACAGAACCTGAGAAAGCTTTTGTGGGGACGGGAGCCTGAAAGCACAAGAGCAGCTTTGCTGCGTCGAGTGGGTGGCAAGGGGCTGCCAGGGCCATACGTCCTCCACCCCAGCAGCGGGCAGACCACCGGGCCCAGCCGCAGCCCCCGGCAAGGGCATGGGCCGGGGACGGCCGGTTCGCTTGCCAGGGCGAAGGGGGAGTGACACCGAGCCCTCCTGTCCCTGGGGCTTCATTGGTAACAGAACCCCAAAACTAAACCTCTGCAGCTTTATGGAAGCTCTCGAGCATCTGCTTCCCAACCAAGGACCTGCCACCCCAGGGAGGAGGAGGAAGATGAGGAGGAGGTGGGGATGCTCCGCAGGCTCCTGGCCCCCCGGGAGCCGGCAGCCCACCGGGTTCCCACGTGCCGCCTTCCCGCACCGAAAGCCAACCCGTCTTCCTAGAAGACCAGCTGTAGCCTTCGGGTCCATAAACGCTTTCTCAAACCTGGCTTTGTGTAGCAGCGGTGCGTGGCCGGAGACCCCCACGGGAGGAAGGCGATTCCTCCTGCCTCCCCACGCAGGTCACCCGGCAGCTCCGGGGCTGGAGGCAGCGGGCGCGTGGGGCTGGTCCGCGGTGGGAGCTGGCGGCTCTGCACCTGGAAGCGTGCCTGCGCCTTTGAAGAACAAAACATCTGATTCCTGCACAAAGCAGAGCCCGTTCCTGACATTTGGAACAATTTATATTTCACACGACTGGCATCTGGCAGTTTTAAAAAAAAAAAAAAAAAAATCAGTGCAAATGTAGTGTCTCTTTCCCCAAAGACAGTGCTAGTGACCTAAGATTACAGTGATGTCCCTTCAAATGTCAGAAAGATTTACAACACTTTCTGTTTACAAGGCAACAGCGAATGTGGCAGTTTTTTCAATGCTCTGCTCTGAACCGCATCCTGCCTCCTGATGGCAATGTCCCTTTTCACAAGCCTTTCATAATTGATCTGGGGAGCAAACGAAATTATTTACTCTTTGAAAGGATCCAGTAATGGGTATTCTTTATTTCCTTTGAAAATATAATGGGACTTTTTTTTAAAAGGAAAATACTGTCCACCACATATTCAGCACTTTTAAAACTTGATTTCTAAAGAATACAAAAGATCAGTGCCAGTCCGCCAAGACCGTTTATCTGGGCACGTTGTTTCTTCAGCTAATGCAAACTAAAGCATAATGGCATCATGGATTTAGAGTGTTCTGAGCTTAATTGGCCTCTTATCTGTGCCTGGCTCTTGCCTGCCAGTGTCGCTACTTTAGGCTCTCGCCCAAACCAGGTTTCCAGCCGGTAGCTAAGGCAAGTGGTTTATTCACTGGGGAAAAAAAAAACCAAAAAACCAAAAAAACAAAGCTTCAGTCAGGTTCAGCAAAAAGATTTTGACTGCATAAACAACCACAAGGCAAGATACTGAGAAACAGCAAATAAGCATAGACGTTTTTATAAAAAAAAAAGGGAGCATGACCGCAGGTGACCGCCCGCCCACACGGGTGTCCTGGACCGAGCAGGAGATGTGCCGGGCACCCACGGCCCCGTGCTCGGGGGCACAGGAGGGTCCGAACCAAACCCGGCGGCTCTGGGTTGCGCTGCGACCGCCCGGGCGCCTCCGTGTCCCGCTGCCTCCCGCTTCATGCAGAGCACGGACTGCGGCACCGCGGGTGAGCGCACCGTACCGTACTGCACCGTACCGCACCATACCGCACTGTACTGCGGCGTACCACACCGTACCACGGCGTACCCCTTCCTCTGCCCCTTCCCTCCCACCCTGCTCTCAGCTCTTCCAGCCCAGCCAGAGCGGGCTCTCACCCCCGCCCCAGGCTCCCCTTACCAAATTCTCTCTTTGGTCTTCTCACACATTTTCCCTCTTCTCCTAAGCAGGATTCCCTAACAGAGCTTTAATGACCTGCTGCCTCCCAAACCTTCCCGTGGTTTAGGGCGCTGCTCAGCTGCTGGGCAGGAGAGGGTCAGAGCTTCAGCTGGAACCAAGAGTTCACCCGGGAAAACGTCCCTCGTGCCGCAGACCAACGGCCGTGCCGCGTCCGGCACCAGCAGAGCAGGGGCTGCAGCAGGATGTCAGGGGCTGCTCCATCTTCTCGAGAAAAGGGACTGTACGATGCAGAAAGGGAAATGCAAACGGCCAGCCTGGACTCTGCCCATCTCTGCACCCCGGGGACTCGCCGTGCCAGAGTCCCAGCTGGGTGCCAAATATCACAGCTGGGGGAGGCTGTGAGTTCTACACTGGGCTCCTTTCCCTGGAGGGCGAGCACGCTCCCAGCTGCAAAGGTAACTAGAAGTGGTTTTCCCCAAGGCCCCGTTATCACTTCAAATAAGGCAACTGATTAATATTAAAGCAGATAAGTGCTCTAAATCTTGCCACTCTTACTGAAATGTTTGTCCCATTAGTGAGACAAACATGAAACAGCATTCACAAAGCAAGAAATAAACACAGCAAAAAATAACGCGGCCCTGAAAGCTGGGAACAAAGAGTTTAAAACGACGGGTTTGGATCACGGCAAACTATCATGAATTTAATTAATATGTGTACTCACAGCTCATCAGGATGGAAACAAGTGTCAGGTCTGGGGAGGGCAAACTTCTAGATGTGCTTTACTTTGAACAGCGAAACTGCTGCCACTCTGTGAGGCAGCGCTCCCGCAGCAGCAGCGCCCAGCCCTCGGACAGCGCGTTTTGTCATCGCCGTGTCGAACAACGACGTGGCCACAGCGATTCCTTATCCCCGTGCTGGTTCCTCCCTCCTGGTCTGGGTTTACTGCCCGCTTCTCTACTACTCGGTCCAACGCATGATCCAGCCTCGTTTCTCACGGGGCGATTTTGTGTCAAGCTTTGCTTTCGCACCTCCGGTTCCTCTCTGCTCCCGACTCCCAGAGCTCCCCCTCCACTGCCACCGCCGGGCTTCAGCTTCCCCAGCCCGACAGTTTGCTTACCCACCCGCTGCCTTGCACGGCATTCAAGGCATTTGCTCCGTCTTGCTGCTGCCCCAGGGGAAGTGGGAAGGCTGCTGGGTAACCAGTCCATGGCATCACTGCACAAGATTGACTTCAGCTTCACATCTGCAATACACTGGGTTTCAGTTTTAAAAACAAACCAAAGCAGCCCATTAAATTCGGACACTGGTTTTGTTGCAGTTAAGTATCTATAGCAGAAACCTGTTCCTAGTGTTGGAGCTAACTGTTCGATTTTCTGCTGTAATAAAACGTGTGCCATGGTGCTGGGTGAGCAGAGCTGTGCGTACGTCATGGCAAGGAAGGGTTCAGAAGCTCACAGGCTTTTTTCAGCTGATTCTCCCAAACCACAGCCAGGAGCCAGGGTGGGATGTTTAAGAGACCTGTGCGTATTTACAGTAAATAGACAAGAAACGACGACTCATCGGCCGCTGGAGAAGGGAAGCAGACAGCTGACAGAAAATGCAGCAGGGGACCAAGAGGCAGCTTTTGACAGCAGGACAGCTCAGCCCCGAGAACGCGCCCCGGTGCCTGAAGCAGAGCGGACTTGTAGGTGACTGAAGCTGCTCGTGCGCTGCTGCGTCAGGAGCGTGAGCACCATCTCAGCCCAGCCCTGCTACCCCCGGGAGTTTGTTCCTTTTACCTGTTACCTCCTCAGATGCCCTACTGCCTTCAAAAGCCAGTGCCAGGTTCTCGGTCCCCCTCCTCTCCCTTCAGCTCCCACACACCATACTTGCGGGGCTTTGCGTGTGCTTTCGCAGGCACAGCCGTGCCCAGCACCCGAGGGGTGACCAAGCCCCTGCGTCCCCTCTTCAGCATCTCCCCGTGCCCGGCCGGGCGGCTGGAGGCTCTCCCTGGGCGCCGGGGACTTGGCCGTCCAGGCACCGGCAGCCCATCTTCAGGGGTCCAAAGCTCGCTGAAAGGCAGCCAGGTTTAGGCTCCCGAGGCACTCGAGAGGCTTCGAAAACTTTGCTCCATTAGGCTGATCACAGCTGGAAAAACCCAAAAAGACAACTATCGATAAATGCAGCACATCAGGATGAATTAACTTCCTGCATATAACAAAGCGTTTTCATAAGGCTTTTCTAAAAGAGCCACAGAAAGTTCAGCACTGGGGTAGAATGAAACCCAGCAAGATGATAAACATCTCGAGACGAACAGGATGGACACACAACTGTTTTTATACGTATTCTAGAAAAGGGAAATGAATTCTGGCTGACATCTGGCAGACAACATTCTTCTATCACAGATAAGAGTTCAACACTAGACAAAGAAGATGACCCTTTAATGGAAATGTTCATGGATGAGCTTTAATGGGACTCTACAATACAACAATTAAGAGAATGAAATACTAATTTTCTTAATTTTTAGATTTAACTTCGCTACAATTGAACAAGTGTGTATTAACTAGTTTCATAAAACAATCTGAAAAACAGTATTTCCTTTTCATTCACCATCCTGTAATTTAGAAAAAGAGGCTGGCAGGACTTCTGGGAACACTGATTTCTAAAAGCCAACTTTGTCAACGCTCCCACTGTCCAGGTCCCAGGAAGAATACTATGGGTAAGTCAAATCATCATTTAAACCATCACGACTGCAGTCAGTGAACATTTTAAACATCTGAACAATTTCCTAAAACTTACAAACAGGGAGGTTTCTCTTTTTTTTTTGAGCAATTCATGGATTCTCTTACTGCCTAGAGATCAGTGTAACAAGACACACTGTCTTACAGATGGTCTGAGAGGGGACATCAGATCTGGTCAGTTTATTTTCTGTATCTGAAAACATTTATCTTCAATCTTGGTATGACAATGTACATCAGGAAGAAACATACAGACATAGAGCAAAAAAAAACCACCAAAGGCAAGTTGTTTCTGAAAAAAATTAGATGGGTGAAGTTAACTGCCCACTGGGATTGACCTGAATGTTTGATACTGTGCCACCGCACCTGCTCCCCGGGGAACGTGCCCATCACATCCCCATGTCCCGGCCACTCACTTTGCAGCGCCTTGAGGGACTCCGTCCGCTCTGCCGACAAGAGCTCCTCAGACCTCCCTCTGACCAGGGGCTGCTCCCGGGGAAAAGCAGGAATGCCTTTTAGCAGCGCGACGACTTAAGCTCCAGTGCAGGACACAGCATGCGAAGATCTTCCAAACAAAAGCTACTTGCAGCTGCCGGTCTGCGGCTGGAGCGGGGTCATTCCCTGCCCAGCGGGGTTGTTCTCCAGCAGACCAGGGCAGACCTGAGCCCCGGGGGACGAGCCCAGGGGGTCCGGGCGCCTCCAGCAAGGGCCAGGCGATTCCACCACCTTGACCTTACTCCCTGGCATCACAAAAAGCACCTTGCTCCCAGGAGAAGTCTTAACCCTTCTCTTTCTGGCACCTACCAGTAAACAGATGGGCAACTCAGGCTTTGAAGAAGAGACCGGATTTTACTGAACTTTCATTATTCACACACTACTTCTACTTTGGGAGTGGGGGAGGACACACATGCTTCCCATCCTAATTCCAAAATCAAGTGATGCAAGAATAAAAATGCTAGTCCTAAAAATGTACATAGCAGTTCAAATAGAAGTAATGTGATAATTTCCTCAGGCACACAAAGCAGCAACTCAATAAAAATAAATATGCTAATGAATGTATTTAGTCTTGGCCATTACATTTCATAAATATTTACTGTTCAGTACTCAGAGTCCAAATTCACAAGAATCAGTTAATAACCAAAATAAGAAAGATGAAGGGAAAGTATTTTGTTCCACTAGGCCAATACAAAATACAGTCATTTCCTAAGGACCGTGCCATGGGTCTCTCATCACAAGGTATGGGCTAGCTGTAAACTTGTAGCACCAGCCACGGAAGCAAAGGTTCATGGATTCACACTACTGGAGAGCTGGCGCGTGGCCACAGTCTGTGGCTGGGCTGTTTAGTAGTACGCTCATTTAGCTTCAGAATACGATAGTTGAGACCATTAAATATTGAAATAAGCAGGCCCGCAGCACTCAGGCATAGCATAAGGAAGAGTCCACCGAGAGTTTACATCACATTTGAGAAAATAAAACACAACCCACCCTGAAAAATGCAAAGCCGATCATTTTGCTTTAGGGCAATCAAATAACTGGTTCAAATCTCCACAAAGAACAAACACAGACTTTAATGGGGCTATTTGTAAAGTGTGGTATTACCCTAACTCAGTAAAGGGTATCAAAGACGGTTTTGTGCTTATCTGAATTTTAAATGAAAAGTTTAAAATAAAACTATCCTGATGCTGTGTGTGGAACAAAAGGAAGAGAAGCGTATGAGACACTCTTTGTCAGGAACTTTACTTACACTTTATCAATTCCCCTCTGGGTTTCTTCTTCTTCTATTCAGAAGCAATACAAGAGAAATACTTTCTGAAAGAATTCAAATATATGCAAAACTTGTATTGAGGCATGTCTTCACAGCTGAAAATAATCATGCTGGCAGGGGTATAATAACGAAATATTTCCAACACAGCAATCAGAAGTGGGAACAGTAACCCTACTCAGCTGCTACAGTTGAGCTTCTTTTCTGTAGAATGAAGCCTCCACCCCACAGAATCAAGCTGTGAAATAAACAGCGCATGGGGTGTGCTTGTACCTCCCTTGACAAGACACAAAGCAACTGGTTGACTAGGCAAGGGTGGCTTCACGGCAACAAGGGCTATTTTTGTTTTGTTGCTCTATGTTCCCTTACCGAATTCTCAGTCTCTAGAGATTATAGCACCAATTCACAGCAAGATGCTGTTTCCAAGCTTACACTTGTTCCTCCCTGATTTTCACGATCAACGTTTTCTTAAGTAGTAGAATTCCTTAATCTTTTGTAAAAGATTTGCAGTCTGTGGTCTTCTTTTCTTCTAGCTGTGCACAGTAAATGCTCTTTCCTCAATAAAATGGTACCAGTAAAGTTCAGACAACAGCCATGGAATTCCAATGGCAATGAAGATATGCTGTTCCAAGGAAACTCTATGCAAATACATTTCCTCCTGCAAAAGCAGAGAAAATAGATTTTAGAAGAAATTTATTAGGAGGTACTCAACAGCCATTTGCTCTTGTTCTGAAGCTAATTTAAGAGTTGACCAAATCTTCCCTCCACAGAAAACCCTTTTCAGTAAAAATCCTTAGATAGAACCAACGTCTTATTTTACTAGGACTATTGCACTCACGATATATTAACAGAGAGGAGAGGATAAAATACAGGATGCAGAAGACATCTTCATCAACATACTATTCAGAAACTCTGGAATAGTATTGAGCCTAACACTGCAGTAGATTATTATTTTTCTTCAAAGTTCCTCAAAAGTTACATGCTATTTGTAACGGACAAAAAACCCCAACATTTATTTGTAGAACTACAAGGAGCACAATGTGCGATAGGTATCACAAACTCTGAACAATTTTTCTTATCTGTAAATGGATGTTGTACTTACAGCTGCTCACTGAGAGCACGATCACTCACGCTGCTCCTGAAGAAGTGTCTCCATTATTTTAATACCCTGGAAAAAAAGCACAAATAAATGCCAGTTCTATGCACAACTTAAGTATTTCATATATTAGAAAGGGCACCCAGTAAAGCCTTAAAAAAAGAAATTGCATTTTATGGTCCCACACGAACTCATTGCGGTCCTCCCCACTGCCCGGGAGGCACAAGAAGCGCTTATGGCACAGGCTGCTCAGGGGGACCCTGGAGAGGACAAAGGACCCTTCGCAGCTTGCAACCTCTTCCAAGTCAAGGCTGCACGAAGCCAGGGCACTTAATCAGGTCACACATTTTATTCCAGTTCTGCCACTGCTCTGCTTGGACCAAGCCACTTCTCATCCCTGCACCTGGGTATATCCCTCTTTAAAATTGGAATACCGTCACTCGTCTTCTTCACAAGCAATTGGGTGTGCGAAGATGAAAGCTCCCCATAAAAGCCCCTGTGATTATTTCTATAATGAAGGAAAGTAATATTGAAATGAAGGGGAAAATGCCATCAGAGGGCCACAAGGGTAAGTACTTCTTCTCCAGGACTGATCTGCGAAGGAAGGAGGAACTACCAAACAATGAACTATTAATAAAGCAAAATGTAGGTTGCATCTAGGGGTTCTGTTTGTCTGGGGGGTTCACTGCAGACGAGCCCTGGGCACCCATCGACCAGCAGCAGCTGCGCAGGTGCAAACCACTGAACTACCCAGAGCAGGGCAGTGTCCGAAAAAGGGGGGGAAGCTTTCGACCAAGTGCTCTTCCCACGTCAGGGCTACAGACTGCTCCACAGCCAGATGCTTCGCTCTTTTGAAATTCATTTAAGTTCAAGGTTCAGTACAAAGTGAGAGGAGCAGCTTCCTATTTGGTGAAAAGCAAAACCCACTCACTTTAGATGAGAAATTCTACAACATCCCTCCCTCTTCCACTTTTTGGCTCGCTCTGTGTACTGAAACTGTAGTAATTTGCCAACCCTACCTCTAATGTTTGGTCAGATCTTGTGGACTGAAGTAAGCTTGGAGCTTAGCTATAACTGTGTGGCGCTAAGGCTTACCCTAGCATGCTCTGTTTGTCAAGATAAAAGAAAAAGGGTTTACTCAGTTTGAGTCACTGTGAGAGGAGGTAAAAAAAGACAATTAACTTTAACAAACAGGTCAAGAGAATTTCTTTTCACATCTCTACAAAAAAAAGGACAAGATATTTTATATCTATGAAGAACAGTTCATCTTCCATGCTTATTCTTTGTAGAAGGCAATAAGCTGACTACCTTAGTCTATCAGTCTAAATTGGACATGCCACTGTTTACAGATTGAAGCACTAACTGACATAAGTGAAGACTCAGAGGTTTGCCTAGGGAATTTTAAAATGTTACTTATTGAATCAATTATGTTCACAGTGTGTCAACTGCTTTTTCTTTTATTTGTCCTCATAGCACTGCAGACTTTTACACAAAATGGTGCTGAGGAAGAAAAGAGGAACTAGAGGGGACTCCATTAATCTAATAAAATATGAAAGGGTAGGTACAAGTCATTACCCAGTATCTCTTCAGCAACGAACAACTAAATCAAAGCCTAATCAATATATTCCTTTCAACTGAAGTTCAAACACTTAAATCTCAGTCCCAGGAGATCAGGCTCAAAGGCACTAAATTTACACTGTTTAGAGTGCACTGATGCACTTGAAATGCAGAACAAAACATTGCCTACCCATTAAACTCTGCACCTCTACAGCTGTAGCTTAAAAGCTTGTCTGACAGACAAGCCATAGAATAGTTTTATTTTTCAAAGGTGCAGGTACTCTGCTACTGTAAGAAGCTATCCTGCCATAAGTGTTTACGTACAGTCCTTATCGGTGTTAACACCCCAAGGCACTCGCAGGGACGGGAGCCCAGCAGATTCCCAGTTCAGGAACGGCTACGGGTGACTCCTCCAGCGAGTGTCACTTTGTCACCACAGCCAGTACGCTGAAACCACAGAGGGCACACGGACCCAGCAGCGGGGTGACCGGATAACGAGGGAAATGCAAAATGGCAGTCTAAGGAGTTTCCAGCACCACAGACTCATTGAGCAGCCTACATGTGTATCTGGAATATCTGCCAGGAGCCAGACCAGCCTCCCAGCTGATAGGGACAGAGAGAATACATCACGTCCGTAACACACTCCACATCTTTACTGAACACTGTAAGTTTTAAGTAAGAGGTTAAGTGATGTACAGGAAAGTATAAATGGCCTGTTTGACGAAGGCAACGCATACTGCAGTGCACACCTCATTTCCATTGCCGGTACAAAAGCAGGGTAACATTTTAACAGACTAGCAGAAAATTTTATGCTGTCTCTCAAAAGAGCACCTAATACTTTTAATTCATTTTGTAACCATAACAAAACATTTTTCAGTTAAATATTTGTTATTTGAGCTCAGTTCCATCACTTAACAAACACTACATCATGGCCCTTAATTTCCATCTCCTTATATATTCAAGTCAAGCAAAAGGAACCTAAAAAAGAAACCAAGAAGTGAAAATGACAGAAATGTTGCAACTTTTAAGAGGCAACAGATGAAACACCTACCAACATAACAAAAGTTTCTTGCTACAAATGCTCCTTTATCGTGTGGCCTTAAAATCACTCATAACTTTGTCATTTGTACTGCTTCACACTGGCAGAGATCATCAAAACTTTGACATGTACAAATGAATCAGGCCACTTTTTAAAAAAGTTTTAAAAACTCACACAAACACACACAAAGGCTGACTTTAGGGGCCACCACTACCCCTCCTGTGCTGGAAACTTCTGCCAGACTTTGCCTGCAGACTATGGAGCATCCTTTCCCCCCTCCGAAGGAACCCAGGCTCCTGCCAATAGACCCAGAACAGGCCGTGCTGGTAACTGGGATTTACCAGCATGTCTGCTCAGACTTTTGAATTATTCAGGAAGAAAGTTTTACTGGCGATAATGTGGGTTCACATCATTCATTAATACCTTTTCTGAACAGCTAAGAAAAAAATAATCATAAATGCTGTAATTTCCACACAAATGCACTATGACTTCTACAAACAAAAGCAGAGCAGGAGAACTTTATCTCCTATATTTTTGTTCAGAGTTGGAATAAAATAAGAGAAATGTAACAAACATGAGGAGCCATAAAATGTCACCATCATTGTGCTAGGCATTAAAAAACCCCTACCCACAGAACAGGCTCATATCTTAGTTACAAAAATAATGATTAAAAAGATCAGTGCCTTTGGTGTCCACGAATAGTTTCACAAATAGTAACTTCTCCCTCTCTTTCTGTAAAATAAAGGTATTTAATATGGACTGTGTGAATAGAAGAGCTTTAATGCAGTCGTTCACAAGATTTAATATTCATGCAGTATTTTCTCCTACTCTTCACGTAGCTCATCCCCTACTCCATTTCCTCTGCCCCCTCACATTGCTGCCTCCCACTGTTCCCTTACTCCCTTATCTCATCTGAGCCTCTCCAAACAGACGGATGAAGAAGTGCAGTGCTATCAGGATCGAGGAGATAAAGCAGGAATCATGGTTTGGCTTTGAAAGTAACATCCTTACGTATTCCAACCAATTATGCCAGGTGCAAGAAAAGCAATGCCTTCTTTGCCAGGCCATTAGGAAGGATGCAGATCAGGTACTGGAAGATAGGAAGTAAATGGAAGCCTGGAGAACATTTATCAAGCATTGTCATTCATGCAACATACATATTAAAACTTTAAATACCATCTTTGTATTGCCATTTATTACATCTGCGTAAAACGTGCCTCAAAACTACTCTATGGCCAAGCCACAAAAGGAACCCTATCGAACAGCTTAGAAGAAATGAAACGCATAGATACAGCTGCTGCCTCAGGGAGATGGATGTTTTGGAGGTGGGAGGAAAAACCAGGCAAGACTGTACATTTATACCAGATCTGGTGCGCTTGTATTTTTCTTTTTCACAAATCTGCAGACATAGCCAAAATTGCTGAAGGATTTCTAATGCAACATTCTAGAGATACTGTGAGCTAGTCTGTTTTATCCGCTAGCTCTGCGTTGTCATAAGCCTGCAAGACACGTTTCACTGCTCATGGTCATTGCTTACACTAGCATAGCTGTCTACTTCTCTCTTTTTTTTTTATTTTAAAGCCACAATAAAAAGGTCTTATAGTTATTAAGAATATGCAAATGAATAAATGGCTGTGACTTTTGAAATACATTTCCATCTGCAGTTCCTGGGGCACAGATTCCAAAATCTGCTTCTGAAGGACAAATGAGAGGTTGGGGCTGTTGGCCCCTGCGCCAGCAGAGAGGAGAGTGTCCGAAGGGACTGCGGGTGCTGCCCAGGCTCCACGCTCCAACACCCACTGACTTCAGTAGGAGAAAAGACAGGACACTACTAAGGCCACTTAAAACCAAAACCAACCAACCAAACAAACAAAAACCAAACAACCCAAAAACCAACAAACTTCAACAGTATTAACCACTTGGTCCCTGTGAATAATTAAAGAATGGCGTAAGGCATGATCTGAACTGTGGACATCTAAGTTCATCTGAAAAACAAATTTCTCCATTAGATAACTAAAAAATGATAAACAATGCTAAATATAGATTCATTACAGTCTTGCAGTACACAAGATTCATGAGCCCAGCCATGAAAATGCCATGTTTTCAGGCACATACATATGCTTTCATTCATCTGAAACAAGATACAAACTGGAGGGGGGAAAAAAGAAGAAAAAAAAAAAAAACAAATGCAAAAAAACTCTCTTACTTTCTCATTAAAAAGGTTTAATCAAATATTCCTTCCTTCTCCTTCTTGCTCCTTTTTCAGCAGGTGTAAATTTTAAACAGTCTGCACAGTACAACGTGAATCCCCAAATCTCTTGAAGGCACAAACTTCCAGAGGACAAGACTTCCACACAACTTCATTTCCCAGTAAACGCTTCAGGAGACATTGCTGTTAAACCTAGTTTATCAATATGACATGACTCCCCGAAACGAAAGGCCTTTGAACACTAACTCCCTTGGGATGCTCTGCTGGATAGCTTTTATCCTCTTTCATAATTCTTACTGAAAGACAGAACTATTGAAGTATACAGAACTGCTACAGGGAGATCGACTGTGGCTATTGTAAATACATCAAGCTGCCAAAAAAATAAAAAAATTAAAAAAAAAAAAAATCTAACAGCACTGGAGAAAAATGTGTGACATGATATAAATTCGTGTTGACTACTTTTGACTATTTCAGTGTAAAGGTGCTATAGAACCACAAATTATTATTACAGTATTAGCTGGTACAATGAGGCATTAGGAAGAAGAACTGTTTCAATGCCTGGGGGAAATCAGGAATAAGAATGAATTACAGAAACTGATACAGTCATACATGCCATGTTGTAAAGTGTATTTGAAATAAAACTATTAGCATAATAAAACTAAATCCATTTTTGTTCTGCTTATTCTCTGTAGACAAAAGTTCAAATATTTTTTCAACAATTAAAAGATGTAAAGAATCCAGACTTAAGACATCAATTTAATTTTGAGCCCAGATGATCTGGTGATTTGAAAAAATTTAGAATACGATTCAGGGAAGAAATTCAAGCAATAAATTACTTACCTTCCTCACACCTTGCTTTAAAAACGATTGAGCAAAAGCTTCCAACACACAGTTGAGCAAACCTGCCCCCGTAACTGATATTCTGCCTTTTTGTGTGAAGTCTGTCCTAAGAAACAGGAACATAACACCCTGTTATTTTTCTGTCTACTTAGTAAACATGAAGTGTAAACTCTACCTTAGAAAGTTAGTGTTTGATACCCGAGTAAGGTTTTCATCTCTTACATTCACATATTTTGTACGACAATCTCAAAGCAAACGTAGCGAGATACAGGAACATCAGCATAACGAGAGGTTTGTAACGACCATCGCCCGCGGTCAGTGCGGCTGAAGTCCAGCTGGGCTCTGCTTCAGCAAAGACACGCGCTCACTGGAGAAGCCCGAAGAGCAGCAACAGAGAGAGCGGTCTGGAGGGGACACAACAGCCGCCAGCTGCAGACACAGTGAAATACGCCTGTACGATTTGAGAGCGTCCTCGGGACGCCATCCCGGCCAAGCTAGACAGCGGCAGTGGTAACCACGAGGAGAGGACTCCCCACTCCTCTCCCCACGGCACGCACGCGAACCCGGCACCACTGATGCCCTCGGCGGGCCACGACCCTTTATTATTTCTGTCGATGCAATTCGGCAAGAAGACAAATGCGCGGAGTTCAAGTGAAGGAGCCGGAGAACGTGAGCAGTTCCGCCCAACCACAGGATGGATGCCAGCAGTAAAAATCCACCGCTGAACTCAGCTGCTCTGGTTGGGATTTATTTATTCGTTTTGCAGTTTCACCATTGTAGGGACAAAAAAGGGAGGCTCAAGGAAAATATTGATCTCTGATTGATTTCCGTAGCACGCAGCTGGCAATGCCGCATCATTACAACACAGTCACAGGGAGAAGTCTATTAATGAGATCCAACTACTAAATTATTGACTAGTTAAGTACGGCAAATTTGGTCTAATTGTTTTCATGATGGGAGTTTAATTAAAGTGTCTTTAGTATAAGAAGTCTAGCAATATTCTTGTTCAGATAGCGTCAGGGAGAGTTTCCAAAGCCTGCACAGCTTTCAAAACTAAATTAAAAGTTACATCCAATGCAAGGCTTTTCAGAAGAGGGAGCTTCTGTACGGGAGATCTTTTTAATTCCCATCTCCAGCTGACAAGCACTGCTCATGTATCAGATGCATCTCTCCACGTCAGGCAGACATCATCTCACCCTGCGCCCAGCACGCTGCAAGAGCCTGCAGCTCCCTTGGGCGGTATGAAATGAGGGAAAGCGCTGGGTAATAAAGGGAATCTGATGGCAATTGAGGGATACAAAATGAAAAAGTAAGGAAACGGTCCTGGTGGGGAGGGGGAAAGCAGGCAAACCAAAACACAAAGGGACGGCAAATGACATCAGAGACAAAATTCAAGCTACACAGGGATTCTCCACTGTGGAAGACAGATATAACCTGCCCAGACACGTGGAAATTTGCCAGTGTACAACTTCAGAGCCTGCGGCTCTGCCTGTGGCCACACCTTGCCCACGGGGACTAAGTGGCTTTCTTTGGACTTTAGACATCAAGATGAGATGCTTGTCTGTAACACCAATTAAATCATAGAAACCAAAAAAAAAGTGTCATTAAGGAATTCAGCCAAGAGGATAACATAGGTGCTTTCTGGTCTCTGAATACACCGATATGCCCCATCACGCCTTTTACAATGGTTTATAATTTATTTATGGTAATGTTTGTTTGCTTCTAGATCTTTTCAGACACTTTTATGCTCTGCTTGGAAGCACCCACAATAATTCACTTTGCAAGAATATGTAGCAGTTGGCATCACCGCATTCACATTTATTTAGGACCAAATAACCACCTAACATTAAGAGGAAGAACTACACTGTGGTTAAATTGACTGTTTGGGACTAAGCAAGCACCATTTCAATTGCCCCAGTTCCATTAGGGACATCAGGAAGGCTGCAGCCTCCCCTCCCTGACTTGCGGTTCCCTAGCTGAAAATAATAAAGGATGTAACTGCCAATCTCAAACTGGGTAAACTAATCCACATCCTATGGATGAGGTTCTGCTAAACGTCTAAGCCACTGGTCCCAGCAGGGACTGGATTCACAGTTTGATTTTCTACAGCATATTGGTCTACAAAGTAGCTGGGCTGAAGTCAGCACAGACAGTTACAACTTCATCTGACAGGGCTAGAAATATTCTGGATTCCCACCAGCATCCTCCCACCACGCGTGCCCGGGACCAGGCTGCAGCTCCCCAAAGCAGCAGCTCTGTCACTAACCCCACTGGCAAGAGATCTCCTTGCAGAGGCACAGAGCAGGGCTGCGGGGGCTGCAGCTGTAACGCACCCCCGGGAGAGCCTGCAGAGCAGCCTGCGCCCACCTCCCCAGCCACCAGCTCCCTGCTGGGTCGGGAGCAGGCAGCGCCCGGCGCGGAGCCCATTGCGCACCCGGGAGGTGCGGGGAGAGGCGAAGGCAGTCGACCTGCTCAGGCGGCTGATCCGAGACGCAAGCCAGCCAAGTGGCACTCTGCTTTAATTTATCAGCATCCTTAACAATGTTGTGTTAAAGCTGATTAAACAAACAAACAGCCCACTACAACACGCGCACGGTGTCTGACTGAGGAGCAGGAAATTCTCATTCTCTTCACGCTTTTAGTGCCCTGAAGAGTTTCAGGAGGTTGCTATTGAAATCTGCCCAGCAGTGCTTAGTAGGGGAGAAAGACGAGTTTCTGTCTGCACTCAGGTTACCATCACTCTCATAATGTTGTTCTCTCTTTAGTGGCATAACGTACAGTTTTCCCACTAATCAGGATCACTTCAGTCTCCTCACTGTGTGTTTTCTTATTTCTCTCCAGTGCAATACTATACTGCTAACGTTATGCCCTTTAACATAATTCCTTCATCTATCCAAATGTAAGTGTCACTGTACATATACTACATGCAGCTGAAATTTCATGCCTGTTTTGCCAGCCAGCATTTGTTAGATCCGACTACCTCCATAAGACTCCTGAGGAGTGACAGTGGTGTGTGCAGACACCCAGGTATCCTTGAACCTACCTGGCCAGGGCAGCACAGCTGAGGTCCGCAGGCTCCTGCAGCTACATGTTGCAGCTGCTGACCTGCATCGGCACCCACGGTACATCCAGAGGCTTGAAAGCCTGTGTAAAGGAACCCGCTGAGGCTGCAATCACACTCTGGCAGCCCAGCTACACCTCTGCCTTCCCAACTGCCACAGTATGCTTTAACATAAGAGTGAGCAGTGGTGACAACGAGCGCAGACAACTCCCCTGCACAAGCCTGCAGGAGCAGAAGCAGCACGCTGAGGACAGTGTCCTTCCCAAACTGGAACTGCAAAGCCTTGAAAACAGGGCGTGAGTGAGCGACCAGTTGCAGTAGTTAAGAGTTTCTACACCAACAGGACCAACATCTATTGTTGCAATGCAACTCTGATGCAGAAGAAGTCTCAGTGAGGACAGAGGGTCCCAGCAAACTTTTGAAACAAAACAGTTTTAAAAGCCAGAGGAACATGGCCTCAAACAGCAACTTCCCAGCATAGGGGTTTTCAAAAATGCCTAAGCCACAAAGAATTTAATTTCATCTGAAGTTGGTAGGTTTTTTTCTTAAGCATCCTTAGAGCTTTCCGAAGTCACATGGACCTTACTGGACAACCCTGCCATGCTTCCCAGGGAACATCATAAAGCAAAAGTAACGACTAATTACAAGAGACACCAGAACAAAGTAAGAATTAATGGGGGTGACATCACCTGGAAATAAATCTTTTTTTAAGACAGTCACATTATTACATACCTGCTCATTTCAATGTTACAGGAATTAGAAATTCCACTCTGATCCTGCCATAAATGTGCATAAAGACATTTTGAGGCTCCACTCTGTACAAACACAAGTGCATGTTCTCCCAGGCAAAGTCCCACAGCAGCTTACATCTCCGGGCACAGCAGGCCAAACACCGGAGAAAGAAAATTGTTTGGGAACAAGTATGCTCCATGCCAATGGCCAGCAAGCAGGAGGGAGCTGATAATTTTTAAACTGCTGTCCAAGCATCTGTTGGTAGGCACGAGAGCAAAACGAACACTCTGGCTATGCCTGCTGTGCAGGAACAGCGGGGCAGCCTTCTATGACTGCAGAGCAGCACACAGAAAATTAATTTCCAGCAATTATTTGTGCTCTGGCCAGAGAACCTAACCTCGCATCTGAACAAGCCAGAGGAAACCTACAGGACATCTACAGCTGCTGCTTCAAATGCATTCAAGACATACCAAAGAAATTATTATTCAGACCCCTCCCATTCCAGGCATTCAAAAGGCAACAGAAAACCTGTTTTCAGGGCAGGGGCCTGCAGCAGCAGCCCTGAGCCGGCACACGGGCACTGCTACACCCAGAAGCCAGCACTCACCAGTTTGGATTCTCCAAGCTCTCTCTGAAGACAGACTCCTCGCTCAGAGACGCATACTGTGTCCACGTAAGACAATGAGTTTTCATAGCCATATTTCTTTTCTGCATATTAAGCCAAGATTCCTCTTCCAAGTAGATGTCAGGCACTTTTAAGATACTGACCTGGGAAACAGAAGAATTATAGCTTTTAAAAAAAAAAAAGAACAAGGGGTAGAATCACTTCTCAGTATTTTCAAAGTTATCACTAGCCTCAGAGGACAGGACTGAGGATTCAGGAAGAGGGCACATCAGCTGTCGTTAGCCCAAATGAGAACACTCAACTTCCTCAGCAGCTACTAAAGGCCATGCAAACACTCCAAGATTTAGGGAAGTTGCTCAGTCCCCAGCTGGACTTCCAAGACCACTGCAGGCCAACTTACCTGCATCACTTCATGCTTCCTGTCTTGCTGCTGACAGCTAATTTATGACAACAAAGGACGAGGGAAGCCCCTTCCAAACAGTTACATGCAAGGCAGCCAAACCCGCCAGCTAATCCGTGAGGGCAGGGGAAAGGCTTGCACCTCTGCAGGCTCCTGCTGCCAGGCGCAGCAGCTGACGTCCTGCTCCAGCTCCTTTCTCCCAGGAGGTCTCCTCTGAGAGCCCACTTGTCAACCTGAGTGACCTTGATCTAGCAAGCGTGGGCCAAAGAAGGGATGAAAGGGATGAAAATCTCACCATTGGTTTATTTACATTCTGCCTGTATAGGGCAATGATATGTTCTCCTTGGCAGGTGAGGCTTGGAAGAGACAAACACATGTTTAGAGGCAAAAACATACAGAATCGTCAGCACCAGGAAGAGTACATGCACACTTTTAACCATGCAGGCTGTGGAACAGTACAGTTATTTAATCATGCATGAATGTAAATGTACTTTTCTGTATACAGACTATCTGCTCCAAGATACTCTGCAAAAAAAACAAATAATAAATTAAGGCTAATTCTCCTTCCATAACAAACTTGGAAGAAAGGACTGTCGCTAAAAGAGACACAGGAGAGAGACACTAAGGGATTGCACAGCCCAGGTCCTTACGTTTTCTACAGCCTTGTCTCATCTTCTTTATAGGGATTCTACAATGCCATATTTAAATTCCGACATGCTATAGGCACATTAAGTATTATTTTAAATTCTGCTGAATTCACTTACAGAATAGTTTTGTGAGAGATTACAGCCCAATATGTTCAGGAGCCATGGATCAGACATTCAAAATACCTGAGCTCAGCTTAGAAATAATTACCCAGTGTTTATTACCAGCTGCCACCTTCTTGCTGAGATCCACAAGACTGGGCTTTTATAAAAATACCATCTATCACACAACAATCGGGGGCATTGACAGACAATAAGATTGTTATATTGGGGTGGGGGGAATGCCTTTACTTTCACTGTGGCCCAGGTAACATTTTAAAACATCTTTACTTTTTCCAGGTACAAAAGCTAAAAGCCCATCGGTGCGTGTAAAACAACCACCACCACCAGTTACATCTTAGTGTCCTCAAGGCTACAATTTTGTCCATTCAAGTTAAATATAAAATCAGTTCCTAGGGATTTTTTTTCTTTTAACTTCTCTTAAAAGTAACTTTTCTAATTTAAAAAGAAATCATTAGGAAATGTGATCCTTTTAAACACGATAAACCACAGTGAAGCATTAAGGTTTTACAACTTGACTAAGTTTCTCTAAGTAGTTACCTTTCTTAAAATTTCAGGAATCACATTCTGGCACGTTGCAATTCTCCTCCGGTAAACAATCCCCGTAGACAAATCTGATGATAAAAGAAAATCAGAAGGGAAGAGTTACAGCAGCAAATATTACCTTTTTTTTAATAAAAACAAAGTAGTTGGAAGACTTCACAGCACAGCAAATGTGCAAGCAGAAATGCTGGCAAATTAACAGAGCATTGCGGGGAGGGGACGGTTTTGGGCTTCTTTTAAGTATAACCCAGTACTTCTGCTGCTTTGCCACACAGAAGGCTGTACATAAGACTGCTATGGGCATTTTGCACTTTGCCTTAGAAGGACGGCATCTGCATCCATCACTGCAATCCAGACCCCCCTTGTCCAGCACGTGGTACAAACATTTTACTGGCATTTATAGTGGTGCTGCTGGGTAGCAAAGCACCGCAGACAGTGCTGGTGCCAGTGCCAGGCTGTGTGGGTGCACGCAAGACTCCCTCCTGCAGCCTGGGCAGGGTCTGGCAGGACCCACTGGAGAACCCCGCTCCTGGTGGCACCGGGTGCACGATGACTGGGGCGAGAGAAGAGCTCGGGCGACTGAGCTGCCAGACCAACATACTGACTTAAGCTTTAGTTTATATCTACCCCTACCCTACTTTATATTCTCAGGCTTATTTTCTGGGCAAACAAGCTGTGTATGAGATTTACAGAACAGTCCTGTCTCATCACACGTTTATTTTTGTATTGAGTTGGACCCAGTGACAAGGACAAAACTATCTATTAGGAAACAAATTACAGTTATTTAGTGTCTCAAAAAAATGGTTGGCTTTTAGAATCACTTTGCCTTTTAATATTTAATGACCCGGATCAAGAACAGAACGCTACCGAATGAGAAGCCAACTGGCAGGCAGCCCAGGTTAAAGACTTCTCCGGGATAAAAGAGTACCTTCTCAAACAGTTGCATTTGGTGGGATCTGTGAAATGAAAACTTCATGGGGTTTAGTTTTCAGAACTCTAACAAACACATCATATTAATAACACGAAGCACCTCCGTGCAACACAGAGCAGAAAAGCATTCTCTGGAAAGAGTGGTTTACTGCATTTGAACAAAACGGCAACGGCAGCACTAATGCTTGGCTTTCTTAAACCTCAGGGCATCCTCACTAACAACTTGCTCAGAAAGAGAGCATGAGCCTGGAATTAAGAGCCACCATTAAACCCAAGCTGCAAGACAGAAGACATCTCTCTAAATGTACGATAAAGAATTTACAGACTAAAACTTTAAGGATTAAAGCATTTGGGACTAAAAATTTAAAGTCTGTAAATTCTTATTTCATCCCAAATGAGTATTTGATCACAGTTCCCATATTAGGAAGAAAGGTAGTTATTTCCACACACAGTCCTATGGTACTTGTTTCCCACTTGGTGGCATAACTGTTTAATACATCCTCCGCACAGACACGTTACTTTAAGTGCCGAATTGCAAGCAATTCCTGCAAGCTCAGCAACTGGAAAACAAAAATCCACATGGTATCAGCAGACCTGATCTGACAACTGTGCTCTGACCCAAGCAGATTTATTTTCCTGTCAATATGATTGGAAAATGGTAACATCTGATTTTTGGCATTTCAGGAATTCTGAATGATAAAGCAAGAGACTGAGGATCTGTGATCGTTTTCTCACTATCAGCATCCTACAAGGCCACCACGCAAGACTCCGATTCCTGGAACTACCTCCTCATCTGGGAAGTGAAACAGCAGGTGATCCCTCCGAAGGCAGGGACCATGAAAGCCAAGTAGTGTGATGCCTGTGGAGCGCCTGAGGATCGATCCACACAGCTCACTGTGCTTCCTTCCAGGGGCCTTACTTCTGATCCATACAGCACTGCGGATGGAAACCATCACAGAAACACCGAGGAACTGTACAACAAAAGAACGTACTACAGAGAAACCAGGCATAACGTGTCTAATGGCCTCGGAATAAGCTGAAAATTTAAATACTTGATGCAGTTAAAACACACGCTTTGTGGGGAGAGGGGGTAATATTTTCTTGGTCTTGCTTATAAAATGTCGAGCACACAGGGATCCCAGGCATGTCTGCAGTGCCCAGTTTCTACTGAAATACAACTATTACAGAATTAATTTTAAAGGTTATGAAAAATTTTAATTACCTCTGTAAGAAAAGTCAGGCAGCTTACCTGTTTTCTCTTCCACTGTCTCTACAGCTGTGATGTGTTTCTCCATGGGACTGGGATACTGGGAGGAAAATGCATAGGGTAAAGATTACCACTCCTCACATGGGTAAAAGAAAATTGCTAGCTGTCACCTGTCGAGTCAGAAGCAGTTTCATAGCTTCTCTCAACAGGTACGAGCTGCCTGATATTAACAATCTGCAGTCTCCGTTCAAGTTAGCAGAAAGGAAGAATTTAATAAGATTAGCTTAGCAAGTAAGATTAGAAAACAAACAGAAAACACACAATACAGCTATGAGAAAAATCGCTTGAAGGGGAGATGCTAGCTTTTGCTGCAGCATACAGACATCCTCCACACACCCTCCATACCACAGAAGCAAAGACACGACCTCTTGACCCACATCACATTTCTCAAATGAGGACTAAGCAGAGCTTTCAGCAGCGTGGCAGCTCCACGGGCCAAAGCCCCATGTGCTGCACTCCGCAGAGAACAACGGCATCCCGAGTTTCTGCAGCAAGCAAGCTCCTTCTCACTGCCGCTAAGCACGTTCCGCCACACAACCTATTTCCTCAAGCAAAAAGCTGGAAAGGTACGGTGCAGCGTCACCCAAATGCAGACTCTGGTACATAGCATTCCGCTGTCCTGCAAAAGCTGCTAGAAGAGTGTGACAGCGCGACGTCACTTCGGATTGCAGCGTGGGTCCAGCCTGGTGAGAGGGCACGCTCTTCTGCTCAGGGGCTGGCCTGCAGCAAGGATAAGGATGGCTACTGCCTGTTCCTGCTCCGGGTAACCTCATTTTCCTCAGGCTGTACAGACAAGTCGTTTCAAGGCTGGAAGAAAGAGATTCTCATTCCAAGACCCCCACTGAAAAGGCATTCTGCCAAAATTGTATAGGTTGCCTGTAGGGCAACATCCTATATAAGAAATGTATGCACAAGAACAGGACTTCTAAGGATGAATAGTCTATTTTGGAACTTACAAAACTCCTCTGGCTAGAAATGAGACACAGAAGGCTACAAGGACCTTACTCTCCATTGCAAAAAGTAATCAATGTTCACCTGAATAATTAACTCTAAATTGTAAAGCGCAAGGTAATTTATTGAACTCAAATAATACACAAAAGTTACTGTAACCTCCATGCTAACACAAATGCCAGGCTGAAGAGATACTGACCACCAGATTGCATTAAACAAAGCATGAAGCTTTAGGAAAGGTGGGGAAATTGCATTTTAAGGCTAACTCTGCTTACGTAATGCAATTATGATGTGCAATAATAGGCGCTCCAAAGCCCCAATACAAAAGAAATCTTGGGTTCTAAACTAAAATGGTCAACACCACCAGAACAGGCTGTTCTATAATCCAGCTCTACCATTCTTTCTTGCTGCGGAATAAAAGTTGATTTAAAAAGCACAGGGTTTTCAAGTCCTACTCTATACAGAAACTGGAGGCTCCTCCACGACGTGCCGCTTTGAAATGGCAGTAGTGGCATAATTACATTATCGATGTAACTTACACTCTGTAAGGCCCAATCGTGTGAAACAAAGAGCCATTTACATAAATCTTCCACTAAATAGCAGGCTCTATTACCCCTGTATTTAAACAGAAATAGACTCAATTTCCTACACAGCACAGTAAAAGAAATAACATTACAAGTCTACAAGCAAATGTAATGGCTAGGAGAGCCTAACAGCCACAAAAATAGTGTTTCCAGCCAGCCACAGCCTCCCTTCCCCTGCAAGGCTTCCATTCCCCGGGGACGCCAAAGCTAACAGCAGCAGAGAACAAAGAGATCTCAGCCTGGCTGGTATTTCAGCCCTGCAGTAACTCGACCCCTGAACCCTCCTCCCCAGCACCACAGGCAGAGGAATCCCCCCCTGTCCGAAGGGCTCCCACTAGCCCAAGGGCTCCAGCCCTGCCCTGCCGTCTCCTTGCCCCGGAGCGCAGACGCGAACCGCCCCGCGTCACCTCTCCTGCTCCGCAAGGGCACGGGGCAGGCGCTGCCGACCCTTCCAGCAGGTCACACGCCACAGCGGCTCCAGCATCCTCACACCCAACTCCTTGCGTCGGGCCGCAGGACGGAGCGAGGACTTCCAACATTTGGAATCACCCCGAGAGAGGTGGCTACGAACGCGCTGCTAATCCGCGGCCATGCCCGAACGCCGCGGCTCCCACCACGCGCGGCTCGGAGAACGCGACCGCCGGCCGCGCCGCAAAGGGCACCCCTGCACCGGGAGAGAGGACTCGGGGAGCCGAGACCGGGACGGGCCCCGGGCTACCGAGCCCTCAGCCTGCGCCTGCAAACCAGCACCGGGCAGGCTGGCCCGGAGCGCAGCGCAGCCAGAATCCGGCCGGGGCGTCGAAGGGCAGCTTTCCCGCCTGCGGGACAGGCCAAGGAGCCGAAACGTCAGAGCTTCGGGGGCAGAAGCGACATCCCGCGAGCCGTTCCCGCTCCCAGCTGGCGAGGAGGGAATGCCATCTTGTGGTGCAGGCTGCGAAGGCACGGCTGTGCTGCAGCGGGGTGGGCGACAGCGGGGTGCTCTGCCTGTCCCCCCCGCGCTGAGGCCAAGCAGAGCAGGGGTCCGCGGGCACTGCCCCAACCTGGTGTGTGCGGAGCTGCCGAAGGGTCCCCCCGGGAGGGGACCAGCACGACCCCCTCCTCATTCTGGCAACGCGTGAGCAGAGGAGACCCCGAGGCCTGCCTGCTTACTCGACGCAGGAGCAAATCTCATCCCTCGCCCCGCTTGGGGACAATCTTGACGCCTTGTCTGCGTTCAACCCTTCCCAGACCGCAGCCGACGCGTTTCCTACATCTCAGACTGCACCCGGGGAAGTGCAACTCGCATACTTTTAGGAAAAAGAAACAGTTATCCAGATGAAGCGTGCGCACTTTTCTTAAAAAAATTAAATAGTTCCCATGAGTTCCTGTCGTAAATTTCTTTCCAGATTGATTTGCTTATTTTAAAGACATTTCTCCTCCATCACACTAAGAGGACCCCAAACAAAGAGCCGACAGCAGAAGCCACGAAGCTGACTTTGCCTTTAAGCTATCCACAGCTTTGAAATTACTTTTTTCTACCCTGACTGCTCGTCGTGAGTGTTTTCTGAAGATGTCAGAGCCTGTTTTACAGATGCGGAGCCGCAAGCGTGGTACCAGCAAACAGCAGTTTGGAAGCACTGAGAGCTCCGCACCCAGGAACCCCTCAGCACCCCAGCACGGGGGGGTACCCGCGCAGTTAGGGGGTTACCTCTCATGTCACACCTACTGGAACTGAAGCACTCCATCCTCCACTTGCAAAAACCTGACAATTAAAATTAGATAAAGAATTCCTGTGCTTTCATTCAGTCTTCCTGCAAATGTATTGATTGTTTTCTACAAATAACAACAAGCAGAATTGATTGCATTAGTCATTACTCTGAAGCCAGGGAATTAAGACCCTCACGTACCTTTCCTAACTGGAATGTGTACAATCATTCATCAAAAACAGCAGTTCCTAACCACAGCAATGTTTCTTAGAAGTTATTTGAGGGAAATAGCAGGCCTCCAAAAGCAGCACCGTATTTAGCAGCAGAGTGAAATCACTGCAGGTTACACATGATTTGTATAAAAATGAAATATTTCAAAGCAATGAAGGGCTGGTTTTACATGCAAGATCAAATGGAGCCCACATAAATCACAATGACAGCTTCAAAGACTTGCAAAAAATAATAATATTTAAATTCATAAATATTCTGATTCTTTCTTTTCTAACTGCAAGGAAATGAAGCAGTGATGCTGCAAAATCAGCTAAACCTTTCCAGATTCCTCCACTTTGTTATTGGTTTGGAAGCGTGGTGGTTGTGAATAAACGTAAATTTAAAAAAAAAAAAGTCTAGCAAACGCACTGCACAGATTACTTGCTGTGATAAAGATCGATAAATACAAAAGCCTTTCACACACAGATACACTTATTTCAAATACAAAACAATTTGTCATACTTGAACTAAATGTTTGATTTACAGTTCCCAGGCTCACTTTAAAGCAACACCTGCGCTAACCTAAAGGCCACCCCAGCAGAAACTGCTGTCCGTTCTAGCAGGCTCGGGCCCCGGGCACAGGGCAAGACTCCCCTCGGCTCCGCACTCCAAAAAGGTCTAACCCGCCTGGCTTTCCTACAGCCTCAGTAAGGCAGCAGCTCTGCCTGGGGACCAGCCACACGAGCCCAGGCACATCGGACGGGTATGACAGAAGTTAGTGCCCCTACTTCCAGCAGGATTCCTCCTCACCTGCATCGCAGCTGTCCGAAAGGTGTACTCCGTGGAAAGAAAGCAGCCCTTGCAGACCGCCATCCATCCGACCCACCCAATACATCCCTCGAGGTCGCGCTCTGCCAGTGCCTGCCCTCCCACACCGACCACGGAGGGGCCGTTCTCTCTAGAAACACGTGGCAAAGGCAGAATATTTTCTAGCATATTTCTGAACCGACATACAAGAACATATACCCCAATATCTGATGTAGCACGCTGTCCCTCTGATTACCACCTATTTCTTACTGATTCTACGTAATGAAAGCTGACGACACACCTCTGCGGTAAGAGCACATTTCTAGAGAAGCTGGGTGCAATTCTGCTGCAGAATACAGGAATGTTTTAAACCTAACCCAAGAGATGCACAAGAGGGAGGGGAGGTCAAAAAAAAAAAAAAAAGCCCATACTGATACCTTCCACAGTCCGAGTGACTTCTTTGCTCCATCCTCAGAGATCATAAATTGCAGCTGGTACACAAAATGCCCCAGTCAAGGCAATAGGGGATTTCTGTTTGCCAAGAGACGTCTTGGCACAAACATGCCCTTGAAGAACCCCAACTGCTTTGGCTTTGGTCTCCTCTGAGAGCACAGCTGGTTGCACCTTCCCACCCTATTTTGTGACATAACAATATTCAAAGGTTCAACTTGCAGAGTCACAACAGAAAGAACGAGAGCAGGAGCCCTGAAGTCAACTTTAACTATGGCATTTGAGTAACTACGGCAATTATTTTTTCAATCATAGTAAATTCCTGGTTAAAAGCATGTGATGCACTTTGCTGCAACATACAAATGAGGATTATTTTAACCTTTCTGCTCTGCGCTTCTGGCTGTCATAATTAGCCTCACTATTCACCTCCAGCTGCCCTTCTCAAGTCATATGGAAGTATACTACAGAATACAATTCCCATTTGCATTTCTACTCTGGTTCAACTCTTTCACAACGAAAAGCACTAACTCTGCTTCTCCTCTCACCTCTAATTGCCAAGCACTCAAGAAAATCAGCAAAAGCTGGCCCTGCCTTCTCTTTTCCAAGTTTGTTCAGTTTTCAAATGAGTATTTCGGAGCACATCCATTGGTTAGCCATAGTGTGGCAGTCTAAACTACATGGTTAGCAAATCTGACTGCCCAAGCTTGCCAAAGACACAGCTCGGGATTTCTGCAGCAGGGCGAGAGAAAAAAAATGTTTCCTTTTTTGCCCCCCACTCTTTTGGTTTTTTTTTTAAAGAAAACCTTAAATGCATCTTTGGACAGTCCTATTCTAGTGTAAAAAAAGAATAGCTGTAGATGGTTAACAGAAATAGAAGACTCCAGACTAAGCATCTTTGCCTGTATTTACTGTTCAAAGTTCTGGCACTTCGGCTTGTGAGGATATTTTCGGTCTTTCCCCTGTAAAAGAATTTCACATACATGACAGTTTCGTTTTCAGTATGGGGCATGACACCACTACAGGGATCCAATTCCATTTTGTACTGAGCCATCAAACACCAGAAAAAAATTAGGCAGTCAGTTACATCTTTTAGAGATTCACGTATCTCATCAGTCATTTCCTCATGAGATGGACACTATAGACGAGAAGCTGACCGCACTGAGATTGTGTGCAGAAGCCTGGTAACTCCAGCAAGCCCAATGTTGTCTTTACAGGCTTTCAGCAAACAGGAAAAACTTGTTATTTCTCGGTAGAAGTGCAACGTATCCTCTTCCCCTCCTACCCTAACCCATAAAACCAATCCAGTTTTTAAGGATCTGACAATTTTTAATAAAAGGTTACTCAGCATGAGGCATTCTCTGCCTCCCAGCACCTGGGACGGCAGCAGCAGGAGCAAGGCTGCACACCGCAGGTCATCACGGCACTGCTGATGAATTAGAGTCGTTGGGACTGCCTTGGCTGCAAGCAAGCATGCGGGGCTTTGCTCTGCCGCCGCACCGGCCAGGGCTGCCCGGGGCATTCGCACCGCAGCAGAACGCCGGGCAAGTTCAGCCACAGGACGGGGCCCCACGCGCTCAGCCCAGTTCTGCTGTGCATCAGCCGCACAGCTGCCCGGGTGCCGGAGCTCACTGGGCTTCTCTCAAGCGGACATGTTCCGGGTTCCTCTTGGCACTGCCTTTGTCAAAGACAGACCTCTGCTAACAGGAGACGGAGAACTGGCAGCTGGCTGAGACAAAAAAAAAAAAAAATCCTTCCTTGTGTTTTAAGCTGGTTGCATCAAGGATGAATTTAGCCCGAAGCCAACGTTTGTTTAAACATCTTGTCCTGCTGAGAACATTCGCAAACCCATGGGGTTTTGTGCCAAGGAAATGCCCTGCGCTATACAGCTGCTTGCTTCTACCGTTAATGTTTAAACACAGGCAGCCAAAACAAATATAATGGAGCCTGCTCTATTCTTCACCTTGGTGTTCACAAAAACCAGCCACAGCTAGAGGGCAAAAGCCCAGCATCAGCTTGTAATAAAGATTTTAATTCATCCCTATATCTGTGCTACTGTTCAAAGGAAAACACCAACAAAGAGGACAGTTTTGATGCACAGCTTGGAGCTTGGGTCTGAGGGACAACAGCGCTCAGAAGGAAAATTTAGCAGGACGCTGTTTTGCTAGGAGCAGATGCACCACAGAAACACTGTTTACCTGCCATTAACACAGCCTTCTGCCGCTGCAAAACATTTTCACTTTAAAGCCTGCTTAAAAGTCTAATGATTGTGGCGCTACTAGGCCAAAAGCCGTACTGCGCCAAGCAGCGACGCAGGGGTTAGCATCCTGCAAGGACAGAAAACCAGAATTCATTTCTACGGATCCGATCTTTCCTTCCAACAGATCCCAGCCGCCACGGCACAGCCCCTGGAAGGGCAGGTGCTGCCGTCGCGGCTGCGCGCTCCCCGTGGGCCACGGGGCAGCCGTGCCGTGCCGTACCCCCGCCGTGTCCACCGCGGCGCAGAGACGGGCACACACCGCCCGCGGAGCAGAGCCCCGGGGCAGCCGCAGGACTCGGTGCCTTTGTTTACCCGCGTCCCCTCTCGCACCCTCCGCCCGCAGCACGCTCCCCGAGCAGGGGTTAGTGAGGCCGTTTTCTGGCCAAGAAGAACGGCCGCCGGCGTTCCTCCGCAGCCACGGCCCTGCCCGCCCTGTTCCCCGCACCGGGGCCGGCCCCGGCCCCGGCCCCGCTGGACCCAGCCCGGGCACCGCGGGGAGACCGGAGTCCGGAGACTCGGACGTGACCGACACGCCACCGACGCCTCGGGCACGGAAACGCAAGTTGTCACCTAAGCACGAAACAGCTCTGACAAAGAGGAAACCCAAGCCTTCGGCTGCGGGAGGGGCCCGCAGGCCCACAAGCCGCCCCCCCTCCCAGAGCCGGACCCTGCTTGTGCCCGGCCACGGCGGCGGGACAAAGGCGGCAGCCAGGCGGGTTTCCGCGCTCCGGAGCGGCGTTACCCGCGCCGGTTTTCTCTCGCACTGACACAAGATTTACGGTTTTCCACGCAGCCACCGCGCAAGCAGGACCGGAGACAGGCTGCCGAAGGGAGAACCGGGGCAGAGCCAGCGGTTAACGCAGGAACGAGCGGCTAAGCTGAGCGGCTGCGGGGCGGGCGATCCCCGCGGCCGGGCCCCGCCGCCGCCGTGAGGCGCTCCTGCCCCGGCAGGGCGCGGGCCGGCCCGGTTACCTTGCGGAGGTAGCTGGCCACCACCTGCTCGAAGGGGTACCGGTACACGCGGTGCACCTCCACCGTCACCC